CAAAAGCACACCCCCCCCCTCTCTCTCACTTTCTCTCATTTCCTATTGATGGCTGTTGTTCTCCTCCCTCTCCCTCTTTTCTCCATCACCCTCTTGCTCTCTCACTCCCGTTCTGTTCCCTCTGTGCTCGTTCTCTCTCATGGGCCCTGACCTCCCATTATGACCCCAGCTGCGGTGACTTTGGTACACAGTACAGTCTACTTGGTAGAAGTCAGTGCAGAGGCTACAAATATGAGCTGCAAACTTTTTCTCTTTAGTCAGCATAAAAGTATGTGTGTGTGAATAGATCCTGTTGCATGCAAGTCCTCCATCTCTCTCGGTGTGTGTGCGTACATGGTGGATCCTGTTGCATGGTAGTCCTCTATCAGTGTCTGCCTCCTGATCTGATTGATTGTTCTGGGTAAATTAGGACTGGGCGCTGGTGATGGGGACAGGAGTGAGTTACACACTTCACCCCGTCCTTGCCCTCCACCCTCTTTTGCTTCTCCTCCACTGTGTCCCTGCTTTTATCATCTCCCTCCCTGCCCTGTTCCCTTCTTTCACCTGTTCTTCCTGCTTCTTTTGCCAAAACTCATCTCCGCCGCTCGTTCCTTTTCATCCGTCTTATCCACACGTCAGTTCCTGCACTGCATTTTTCTAAATAAAGTTTTTAACTTGTAGACAAACTGCATACACTGTATACAAAAATGAATGATTCCAAACTATACCATACCATTGTGGGACATTTACACTGTCCGCATGCCAAATAAAATAAAGGAAAAGAAATCATTATTCAGTTTAAGGAAAGTTTACAAGATACTGAGTGAACCTGAAATCAAACTTAATCGCATTTTACTATTACTTTTCACCATTCAGAAGCCAAGATAAGGATTTTTTTTATTGTTGATTGTCTGGCTTTTGTCACTGAGCAAAAGATACCAAGGCAAATGAGCAAAACCCTCTTCTGGCTTTGGCGTTCTCCACGTCCCCTTCTAGTTACTTGCTAATATTTGATTCAAAATGTAACACATCCATCCATCACAATTATGTCAAATGACTCACGAACAAAGGCGATGGATAAAAAGCCTCAAACACCACCCAGTCTGCTGTGCGAGCAGAGTATGTGAAACATTTTAATTTTAATGGCAGTGGTTTCTCTTTAACTAAAACTAGCCTGATTGATCCCATGTGTGATAAGCCACTGCTGATGTGTGTATTTCCATAGCAAATCAATTGCTGGTTCTTCATCAGTGCAGAATGGCTTTCGTTTGGCCTGAGGGCTGCATAGTTCAGGATAAAATGGGGATCATGATAATCCAAGTCTTCCACTCCCACTATGATTCTTTGAAATCCAAGAAAAATAACATAATAATCCTCAATGCTGTGCTACTGTTGCCTGAATTTTGCACAATCATAGAGACCGCACTGTTATATTTATTTATCTTTTTAATGAAACGACAAGGCAATTTGTGGATCTTTCATTGTTATGTTCAGAAATGCGTTGCATATGTACACAAATCCCTTTCTCTTTACAATCCATCTTATGTATTATATTCACTTAAGCTGTTAATACATCAGTGGTCCACAGCAATTCATGTACACATACAAATTTAAAAAAAGATAAAATCACTTGGCTAAAATGTTTTCAAGTGTTGCTGAGAAATGGAGAGTGGAAGGAAGACAATGCCAGGACTTGACATAAATTTAGAAAGTACCCCCCAAAAATAAACTCCTAAATTGCTTTAATGTTCAAATGTAATATTAAATATTGATAATATTATTCATATTTGTACTAGATGACTCAGATTTGTGGGTGGGTTCCTTGCCGCTTCTCTCCTCTCTTCTCTTTCTCGCTCTGTTCTGTCTCCTCTTAAACATAGTTGTTACTTGTAAACTGCTGAATTGGTAACACTGTCAAAAAAGCTGCAAATGTGGTTGGGAAACTGGACCCCCTCCTCCATAAATAGATGTTTGTTTCTGCTCTCTCTGTTTGTTTGTGTTCCCTCTTTTTGGATCTGGCCTGCAGGGACCATTTTTCAGAAGAGACAGCGAGGCTTTAGGGAATACTTAGACTTCCTTTTTCCACTTCTCTCTTCTCCTCTTGTCGAGACATTTCTCTTCTCTTCTATTTTCTTTTCCTCTTTTTTCAACATTTTCCTTTTATCCATATATGCTTAAATTCAGTGTTTTTCACCAGGTTGTTCTGTTGTTTCCTGTTTGTTTGCTTGTTTGTTTAATTATTTGCCCTTTTTTTAAAAATTATTTTTTATTATTTATTTCATTAATCCATCATTTCTTCTAAATGTTTTTGTTCCTTTCCATTTTTTGCAAAGCTGGAACATATGGGAAGTTTCCACTGCTTCTGCTACAGCCTTACTGTAAGGCTGATACCTTACAGTAAAACTGTTTGCTTTTTCCCGCAGCAGCATTCTGGCTGGCTGCAGAACACTAGTGTCCTGGAGTGGCACATCAGTTTGGTCAGTTGATTCCTTCCTCCCCTTCCTCCCTCCCTTCTTCTTTCTCTCACTTCCTCGTTCTCATACTACCCGGCACTTGAAAAGAAAAAGAGAGAAGCTCTGCTTCATGGCTTAGAGAATGTGCTCTGCCTCTTAGCTGCAGACCAAGAGAGGAAAGGGGAGAGAAAGGGAGAGAGGGAAAAGGAATGAATAAAGAGAAGAGAGAGGCAGCGACACACTTGCATCTGTTGTCCTGCGTCCTGCAGCCGTGAAGCAAATGAGAGAGTGCGAGAGAGACAGAGAGAGTATGCCAGGATAAGAAGAGAGAGAGAAAGAGAGAGGATCTCAGACAGCCGTGTCCTTGAGAACTGCACCACAACTCTTTGAAGAGAGCCGCGAGAAGGTGTGAGTAACGTGCATCTCAGCAGGACATGTGTGTTTGCAGTGTGTGTATCTAAGTGTGTGTATGCTTCATGGATATGTACAGTACAGTACTGCTTGTGAGAGTTAGTGTACGTATGTGTGTGTTTGTGAGTGTGTGTGTGTGTGTGTGCGTGTTTGTGTGTGTGTGTAACCTGCTGCTTGCACACTGACCTGCCAAGCTCAGAGTGAAGGGGGTTTGGCTGCCGATCTTCTCTGCTATTGTCTGCCTGCCTAAGTGTTGCTGACAGGGGATTATGGCAAATACAAAACGCCGTATGGACTAAAGAAACACACTGCCAAACTTCAGAGACGCACGCATGCATGCATGAAGCTCCATGTTGAGAGCTCTGTTTGACTGTGTTCATTTGTTTGTGTGTGTGAGTGATGTCAGTGGGTATCGTTTGTCTAGCATGCACATGCGTGTCTGTTCTGGTTAGTTGTCTATTTTCATTTCAAAACTGTCCAGATTAAACAGCTGAAATTTCACAGGTATAACAGTAAAATAAACATGCCCTTTCTCACAGTAGTGATCGTTGGAATAGTTTTGGAACCACCTGTAACTTCAGAAAAAAACCTTGGCATAAAATAACCTTATAGCTGAATACGTGCTTCAAATCCCAGCTTCCTGGACATGTTGCATGCCATTCCCCTGCTAATCTTTCCATTTCTTGTCTGTCTCTGCTGTATACAAATAAACTTAAAATGTCCAAAAAAAACCCCCAAACTTTTACTGGACTCCTGTTCAGAGCAAACTTAAACTATTATTTCCCTGTTGTAGCAAGGGCAATCACAATAGCACTTCTATACACCAATCGGCATCCTGAAGACTTAACTTACAGACATTACATTTACCACTGGCTTGCAAATCTAAAGATAAATCTCATGTACCTGCTCATCTAATTCGAATTCAGTTTCTGCGCTCGAAATGTGGCCATGTGGTTTGGGGAGTTGTGTGTCCGAACCTTGTGAGGTCTTGGGAACAGAGCCAAGTGGTGTGACCCATTGAACTATTTGCAACTAATCATAGACCACAAGCCACACAGCATGCCGTAGAGCCCAGCTGGGTTACACTCATCAAAATATAATGAGAGACAACATGTCACTTATGTTTCTGAAGGCATTCTTGAGATGAATGCCATTACTGAAGACGTGTGCCACTTTACTGCTTTGAGTGCCAAACACTTGACGTTGTAATGCTGGCAGAAAGATAAAACACCCTCACCCTCTCACATTTGAAATGAAGTGGAACCAGAGGGACTATATTTAATACTAAAGGTAGGATACCATTACACCCTAATCTAAAAATGCACTGGTTGCATCATGTCTCATGAAGCAATGTGGCTATCCAGTATCACCTGTGTTTGATCATTTGCAGGATGTTACCACTGATCATACTCTCAAAGATATATTTGGATATTAAATTATAGCATAGTAAGTGCATACATGTCATACCTAAAGATGTGTCTCATTTCTCTTTCTCGCAGCACCAGTTCTGAAAGATATATCAGGATTCATGTTTCCAGTCAACATCTGTGTTGTGTCATAAATTTTATACTGCACATGTTCATTTTTGAATTTAAAAAGAATCCTAAACTTAATTTAAATTGTCTCTTTTTAATAAATTAGCATTACTACATCCATTTTTGGTGGGTGTTTCTTCTAATTTTATTCTGCTCCAGTTTTTTTTATCATAAAATATATTTTTAAAAATGTAAAAATGGGATGACCATGTAGAGTACTTCAGTGGATTATGATGTTGTTGTCTTAAACAGTAACAGTAGTGTTACAACGCTGTTCACAGTTATCTGTATTTCAAGATTTTTAAAGCGTCTGTAAATAGGTTAATAACATAAAAAGTACTACAACGTAGCTTGTTCTGAAAGCAACTCTTGGGTAATATCTCAGCTGTATTTATTTCCCATTTTTAGGTATATTTTAGAATCATATATTTGGTATAAACACATGTTAATGCGGCATGCTTCTTATCATAACTAATGTGCTTTTAGCATGAATGAACTAAGAGAAGTAACAGGCAGTGTTGATGGTGTCCACAGTATATATTTAGACTTTAGAAACTATCCCCAGGGTGAGACTGTAAGTGTGCAGAATGTACTGAGTTTGTGAGTGTGTGATCATAGTGTGTAAAAGTGTGTGCATGTATGTGCATGCAGTGTTTGTGTGTGGAGAAATGTGTTTTAAGCTGTTCCAGCCAACCAATTGAGGTCAGCCGCTCAATAATTAAAGCATGTCACTGGTTAGTGCACGAGTTGGGTCGACCAATCAGACGGACTGATGTCAGATCATAGTGACAGAGAGTCAGAGTGACTGTTAAAAGACAAGAGAATTGGAGGAAAAGGAGAGACAGAGCTTAGCACTTGGAGAAATGCAAAGTTTAACGATCGAGTGAATGACATTTTACATTCATATCAGCATTTTTTTAAATGTCTTTAAATTTACAGACCTCGTGAAATGCTGCTAGTCTCCTTGGTACTATCTTCTGCAATGTGTTACTTAATCCTATGTAATTCTAACAAAGCAGCGGCAGAATATAATTTTTTTTTTTTTACTTTATTACAGTATCCGCGGACTGAGCACACCTTACAGCAGTTACCTAAGTTGAAGAATATCAGGTAAGAGGATCAGTGCTATAAACTCAAAGTTAAAGACTAATTATATACTAATTATATCGCCAAGATAGGTACAGCTTGCACTTACAAGCTTTAATGTTTGGGATGTTGAAGCTTATACATGATACAAATATAAGCATTTCCTCATCAAGCAGTCTTTGTTATTGTTTCCTTGAGCCAAGAAATGACCAGGTGCATTTAATACCTATGAAGATTCATATTAAGTGGTATACCCATCATTGTAAAGTTAACTTCCACTGGTAAGTTTGGTAAATTTAACAGGCATTTACACATTTACTGATAAATCGTTAAGTCAGGGCTATAACTCTGGGTACAGCCGTATACTCAGACCAGTTGCTCATAACATGTGGCCCCATAATCAGTAAGTTGTGGTTTAGGATCGAAAACTGGTCAAGAAGTTTATAGCAATTACCATCAGTGGTAATATATTCAACAATTTGTCATGTTTGTGCCCATTTGATTTGTTATGTAAAGTTTTGTGGATTTGCTAAGTCTTCTGTTTAACTATGCTGCACGTCACCAGTGTCAGTGTTGTGTAGTCTTCGTAAAAAAAAAAAAATGTAGATACAATTGCTTTAATTACGTGACATCTTTACTATGTTTGCTAATGTTTTCTTTTCTGTCAGTCTTTTGCTACTACCATAACGTTTTTCCAAGCAGACTTTTATATACCAGTCATCAAAATGTGGATATAGCTCAGGAGTTGTAATCTGATCATAGACTGAAGCCTGATGTGAGCTTCTATTTATCTGGAAGCCTTCCTGGGTGATATGAGGTCCTATTAATACTCTATGCAGCGGTTGCTGCCTTCCAGCCTGCTTATATGTGTACACACACATGTACACACAACGCAGTCCCAAAACCAGAAAATCATGCACACAAACACCAGAGACTTGAGACGTCTCAAACACTAAAGGCTGCACTCCACTTCAGGCCTTCATGATGTCATTGGGAAACCAAATCATTAGTGACATCAGTGCAAACAGGAAATGAATTCAAGTGTAAACAAAACAATTTGTTGGTGTTTATTGTGATCCCTGTTTTTTTTTTATTGTTTTCCGGCTTCTGTGTTCATGTTTAATATTCATTGTTTTCAGTTTGGTTTCCCTATTTTTCTTGTGTTTGTTGGGTTGAGTTCCTGATTCTTGTTGGATTTCTTTATTATTCCAGTTAGTTCCAGTTAGTTCCAGTTAGTTCGTAACACTGAGTCTGTGGTTCCTGTTTCTACTCTATGGCTACTCTAGTGATGAGTTTCAGCTTTGTAATCCTGTTTTGGCTCATGTCTTGATTTTTATTATTTACAGTTGTTTTAGTTCCCTCAGTGTTCCCTCATTTCTGCTTTCATGGTTAGTGTGATTCGTCATTTGGGGTATCTCAATTACTTTGAAGATTAGTTTTCTTTCATGCCCTCTCTTAGTTCTACTTCACGTCTCTTTCCTGGTTCCCTGATTGATCTCACCTGTGTAAACCTCTGCACTCGATTTTTGACGATTGTCTTTTTTTTCTGTTGTTTTGTTTGTTTCCTTTCTGCCACCTTCTTCACAGTAATATAGATAGAGAAATATTTTTAGGAACATCATTCAATTCTCAGTGGTCAACTTCTGCATCTTTAGTTACTTCTTCCTCTCAGCCTTTTGTTTCAAGTTGTTGAGTCTGTCCACTGGTGTCTCTCTGTTCTTTGTAAGCCTTCTGTATTTACTGTTAATCCTTTCTATGCTTCTCCCAGCCAGAAGTCCCACTGAGATCCTGTAGATTTAGACAGAGGTTGATCTCATGATTAGTATTCAGCTGTCAGAGTACGTCAGTCAACTTTTGGAGGCCCCTCTCAATCCTCACCCTCCCACTATCATTCCCCCATTAAAATCTTAATGTATACCTCTGCGTTGTAGCATATGCCCATGTGCATGTGCACCACCTAAGGATGTATAGTTTGTTGCCACACGATTCTGAAGAGAGAGCCTGTATGCATTAATGTAGATGCATATTCAACATTCTCCTGATTTCCCAGGAAGTTGCCCTCCATCATCTTAAATGACATGAAAAGAGCCGGAGACAGATATATGCATGAATTAATTGGCTTGAATAGAAGTATTTAGAAGCCTAATCCATGGGGATTAACGCAAGGCGCCCTCTTCGGATTTAAGCTTCTGTGCATTTTCAGCAGAGGATTGTTTTATTTCACTCTATCCTCCTCACATGCCACCACCTTTAGATCTTAGTCAGTGAGCCTTTAAAAAGCTGTCAAGTGTAGGATTAACAATGTAGAAAACCACTAGACAGCTAATTGCTCTAAAAACCTTTAAAAGTATATAATGATGATTTTTATTGTAGTTTGTTTGAACTCCTGGGTTGCTATTGATTGTCTTTCTGTTGTATGCGAGCAAAAATATTACTTTTTATTTCAGGATTAGTGCACATATTTTAACAATTTCATGTGCTATAGTTCAATCCAGAATTAAAAGCACTATATTAAAAGTTTTTTTGTTGTTTTTTTAAGTCGGGCTATATACAACTGTAAAGAATAAAGTTTGGCACTAGTTAACCGAAATTCATTTGTAAAAGTATTGCTATGTGGTTTGTATTCACAGTCCAGGCTTCATCAGTACAGTGTTTCAGAAAACAGTGATATTGTTTTTTGGCAAATGCTGGAAAACAACTGAAGTATAATACACTCACTGGAAAGAAAAAAGAAAATATAATATTAATATTAATATAATATTACAGCTATACTGAGTCACTCTTTGTTTTTATTTCCCATTTTTCTTTTGCACTCTATCTTTTTGCCTTTACTTTCCTCATCTCACTTCAGTCATTACCCTCCCCTTTTCTCTGCACCTGTCTCTCTCCCATCACCCATTTCTCATTTTCTTTCCTCTTCCACGCTTTTTCTTCTACCCTTTTTCTTGTCTCTTGCCTTCTCCCTCTTCCCTCCTTCATTTATAGGCTTTGCACTGTGAGTCTATGAGATACTGAGCAGATCAATGCCTATAGATTGGCTCATTGGAAGCCATTAGTTATGGGTTTTTATAAAGCTAGTCATTATTGTGCTTAATCTTGCAGAAAATTAAATTTAGAGTTGTGTACAGTGTTTTGGTTAAAAGTTGTTGATTTTTTTTCTGCTTTCACTCACTTACCAGCTGCTATTTTCTCGCCTTTTTTGCATTTATTAGTGTGTGTGTGTGTGTGTGTGTGTGTGTGTGTGTGTGTGTGTGTGTGTGTGTGTGTGTGTGTGGGTGGGTGGGTGGGCACGCGCTTAAAGCACACTAGTGTCACTGTTAATAAGCCATCATGCATCCCGGTCATGCCAAAAAGCCCTTCAAGAAAACTGCCCATACAACAACATAGCTTGGCCACAGTACTGCATGCGTACTGCATTTTTTTTCTTCTGGGTTGGCAAATTTCTCTATTCTTAGAGCCTCTATATTCAATATATTCAATGGCTTTAATAACTTTAAAAGTGATGGTGGTGTCATTTTTTTTTCACCCAGCCACTTTGCTTTTGTCTTTTAAAAAGCATTGTGGCACCGTCCAGGTCCAGCTTTAATTTTCAGAATTAGTCATGACCTCTTGGACAACACTCTCCCTATTCTCTTATATGTGTTCCTTGCCTCTGTCTTGCCAGACAAAGCCCACCCTATTACTTTCTCCTCTTTACACTTAATTTATCAAACCCTTCAGTATTCCACTCTTCAAGCTCCCTATATGTCATTCTTTTTCATCCCTAATCCCAATCTTTTTCACCCACTCTTTCATGTCTTTCATCAATGTGTCCTTCTGTTTCATTCCCTGTCTTTCCCAGTTCTCCCATCCCTATTTCTTTCTTCTGCACTCCCTGCTTGCTTCCCTGTCCCCCATCCTTTACTTTAACCCTTTTGCTTTTCCACTGCCCTGAACACCTTCCTCCTCCCCCTTTCTTCACTCTTTTCTCATCCTCAGTTCCCTCATCTTTCCATCCTAGTCCCTCTTTGCTCCCCCCCCCACACACACACACACATACACACAACCACATCCTCTCTAACTAAACAATAGATGCCTTGAGCTCTGAAAGATCACTTCCCACCCCAGCCCAACACCGTCAACATTGCCCACCCTCCTCCTCTCCCACCCCATGATGATATGCAGAATAGAGCGGCAGCCTTCTTTTGTTTAGCTTAGCGCAAATGAAAATTGCTAATCAATTTTTACCCCCTCTTATTTCATGGCATGTAGTTCCTGCCCCTCCCCTGCCAGCTGTCATTGTGTGGTTGTGGCGCAGGGCTGAAAGCTTCATTAGCAGGAGGACAGCATGTTTTGCCCCTCAGCGCTGTATTCATGGAATTACCAAAGATAGGACATTGCCTGGTGTTACTCGGAGAATTAGTGCAAATAGACATTACCTTGTGTCTTATGCCTTTTTGTCAGAAGCTTGGTATACATTTTTGAGTATTTTATTATGATACCCATGCTTTCTGAGGCATTGGTTTAATTGCTAAACCTATTTACAGCTCTTTAGCCGCTGTTGAGTAACATCATCAGAGCAAACATAACTGAGCTGACTAAGCAAAACATGAAGTTAAAAATAATTCAGGGATATAATATAGTCTGCATAGTATTTCTGATCAGTCTTTTGTAAAGACATCCAGAGCACAAATCCTCCACTCTTCTTTCCATACTGGATTAATTTCAGCATTGCAAAGTGTTAAATCAAGCAAATCATGAGCAGCAAAATATCCCTTAAATTTTAGCTCACTTCTCCTTTTTCTCCTGCGCTGACATTCCCTATCTCTCTTTCTCATTCTCCTTTTTGCTCACTCTCTTTTTGTTTCACTCGGCCTTTGTGCTGCCTACTGAATACTTTTATTCTCGAGAGCTGGACTATGCAGCATAAAAATGTAAAAATATCCAGCAAATGAAAGCCTTTATGCTCTGAAAGAACAGCCATGCCTTGCCCAGTAGAAATTGCTAGGGTGTGTATCCCATAGACTAACTATGCAGCCATCCAG